TATATATATATATATATATATATATATATATATATATATATATATATATATATGAAATGTGTTAAAGGATTAATATTATAAATCCCTTTTTCAACGCACCAGCACAAGTACAACCGAACGTTAAAGGCGTACGCAACATAATAAAATAAATAATTTATTGAAATAAATAAAACGATGAAAAATTACGTATCTCAGGTTTGAAAAGTCGACAATACCACAATCTCAAAGCGGTACAATAAAAAAAAATGTTTGTTTTAAATCTAGTCATTTCTAGTCAGAACTCTCGAATCTAGTCCCTCATTCACCAATTAAATTAATTAAATAAATTTAAATAAAATAATAATCGCGACAGAAAAACAAAAAAAAACGAACATATTCGATAAATTGTATAGTACAAACCTGACTACCTTGCTAATTACTAGTTGTAATACTTAAGCTGTGTGCCTTCTGTAATTGCAAAAATTGACTCTACCAACCGAAGTGATCTTTCGATCACAATTAATTTTGTGATCGAAAAATCGTTTTAAGTGGAATAATAACACGAGAGAGAGAGAGAGAGAAAGAGAGAGAATGAAGTGTTGAATGAGCAAAACGAAAGAAGAAGAAGAACAAAAAACTGAAATAAAATAAATCTGTTGGTTTTGAGTTTCGTTCTTATGTGGCGAAAATGGAGCGGTTCGGTTGGCTTTTGTTCGGTCCCTCGCGAAAATTTATTTCGGCCGTCGCATTCAAATTAGGCGCGGCGCATAAAGAGAACGATTGCAGTTTCGTTTAATATAATTTTTTTTCTACTTATTATGCTTGCCCGGGGAGACTCTTTTTCGGGGTCTATTGTCGTGGCGTAAGGGGTCGGTCCGAGTTTCCAATATTCGGGTAAACAGCTGCCCGGCACGAGCCCGACACCCCAAAAAGTTTACAAAAAAAAAATTTTTTTTCTTCTCGATGTCGTGCGCCCAAATTTATGCATCTGTTCTTGACGAATTATTTATACGAAAACGAATTCAAATTCATTCACCCATTATACTATAACATATATCTCCTTTCTAAATTACACAAAATTTGTAAAATTATTTGAATGCGAAAGGTCTCGTTTAAAAAATCTTACGTAATTTTCGTTTGAAATGTTTTGAATGGAAAGATACGGGTTCGCTTCGTGTCGTTTCCGGATTTGAGGTGTTCTTTGTAGTATAAATGAGCATAAAATCAAAAAATGCGAGGAAGGCGGCGGCGGATTTGCGATAAAAATTTGTTGAAGATTATAAGTTGTTCGTAGTGTATAGTTCTTGTTGCGAATGGGCCGTGAGCTTTCCGAGAATTATATAATTAGGTGTTATGAAATACGGGTTTTTCTATATATATATTAAAAAAAATTATATATATATATTGGTTTTATCTCTAGTCTATACTATAATAAAAGGGGATGATGGTGTTACCTTTTTTCTTTCCGCGACGGAACGCGTTTTTTTCGAATATGCGGGGTTTATTCGTGTAAATAAAATAATATAAAAAAGGTGCTTTTTTGAAAAAACTAAAATTCGACTAAACTCGTAATAATATCCGTATATTCACAGTTGACGTGGGGCTGTTTACTTTTAATTATTTCATTTCGGCCGTTTGACGATCGATCGCGGGCTCGACAATATCCCTTTTACCCCCGGAATGTTCCCCCACCCCCTCGCCATCCTTAATTATCAGTCTATTGATTTTCACATCATATTCCTTTATCTACTCCGCATCTTGAAAAGAATAAAAATATAACCGATGTCTTTAACAACAATTGAAAAAAAAAATATTTTTTTTTTTTTGGGCAACCGTAATTTATGATATATCTGGAAATATTTTCGATATACATTAAGTAATATATATAATCTCTGCTGTATTGATGTGGTTTCAATCGTAGCTCCTCGCCCGCAAACGACCTTGACTTAATCGGGTAGAATTCTTTCTTCTAAATTATCACAGTGAGATATGAGTCGCGAAAAGTACTTTATTTCTTAACCCAACCCATCCCAACTAAACAAACACGGTATTTATCATCAATTTTAATTTCATTAAGAACATAGGGATGTATTTAAATTAACACCTAAGAAATTGGTTGCCCAAAAATACAATTTTATTAAAAAAAAATAATATATTTCAATAGAAATAAATGGCAGATGTTCAAACGAACGGATTAAAGTTGGGGTGAATTTTGGGTACAAATAAGTGTTATTCTCCAAAATAACTTTGATCGTGTGCCATTGTTGCCATTCCGTGGACATCTGGTGTTTCCCCGATTGCCATAAAAATGTGTAATTATTGTAAAATGAGGGTAGCGGATTTTATTTACCCTCCCAAAAAAATTTTTTGCGAAAAAGGGGTAAATCCGAACCCTCACTTCAAACATGTTTTTTTCCCTTTTTTTGTCATTGATTAATTTTTTCCACGTACAATTAAACTT